AAAAATGTTAGATAAAGTAAAATGCAGAATAAAAAAGACAATATGTATAAAACTGTCCCAAAAATAAAAAAATAAAAAAAAACCAAATAAGTTAACTAAATTAGGGAAACAAATCAAATAAAATTAAAAAAAATAAAAGAAAAAAAAACAATAAATAAAAAACAAAAACATGAAGAAAAAAATGAAAAAAATAAAAAATATATATATATAACTGTTAGGTAAAAAAATAATAATAAAAAAAAGGAGAGAGAAAATAATATAATAATAATAATAATAATAATAATAATAATAATAATAATAATAATAATAATAATAATAATATAATAATAAACCACCTACCCAAACACTACCCACCTAATTACCTACTACTATCATTTCACAAAAAAGAAGAGGGAGAATTCGGGCCACAAAGAGAGAGGAAAGGAAGAAAAATGGGGGGCTAGGAGATAATAATAATATATCTTAGGTAAAATATATGCATATAAAATATATTTTTTAATAAAATGAGTTAAAAACAATAATAAGATAAAAACAATATTAAGTAAAAACAAATAAAAAAGAATAAAGTAAATATATATATATATATATACATAAACATTAAGAAAGAAATAGTAAAAAATAAAAAATAAATAAAATAAATAAATATATAATAATAATCATAATCATAAGAAAAATAAAAATAATATATATATATATACTAATAATAATAAGGATAGAGAACAAAGAATAAAAATATAATAAAAGAATGAAATATATATATATATATATAAATGTAAATGTTAAATTAAATAAATATAAAAAAAATAATTAAAATGTAAATTAAGTAAAAGGACTAAATTGAAATAAAAATAAATTGGGTGGCCAAATTAAAAAACAATCGATGTAAAAATTGAATTTAGGGATAAAAACGAAAGCTTTAAAAATTGGGGGACCAAAATTATAATCCCCCCTTTGTTTTCAAAAACACGCGAATCCTTCTTGGGTCTGATCGAGTCATAGGTTGGGTCAGTGGGTACTATAAAATCCATTTTCCACAAACATAAATCATTTCTCCCCTAGCCAAATGGATCAAAACCAACACCAAAAAATCCTCTGAAATGTTCTTGAGTGTTCTTCATTAGTGAAGAACACCGCCGCCCCAACCTAGATTGAAAAATAGCCTCGAGGAGGGCTAGCTCTGAGTTTGAAACTTTCGGTCTCTTTCCCCCTGATCATCGACGGGTTGTTTTTTTAATGGAAAATAGAGAAAGAGAAGCATGTAAGCAAACTGGACGAACAAGGTAAAAAATACCTTTTTTCTTTACTTTTTCTTTCGAAAATAACAAAGATTTCATCTCTTTCACGTTCGTATTTTTGTGTAATTTTTGAGTGTTTTTTGTGTCATTTTTAGTATGAGTTTATATCAATTTATAATAGCAAAAATCCTATTTTTAGGTTCGGTTTTAGTGTTTGATCTTGACTAAAATACTTGTTTGTTGGTTGTCCTTGTTCCATACGTATACGTCGCTGGGAAAATCGGGTGGTTGACCGAGGAAAGTGGTCGGTTGGTGCGGCGCTGAGGAGAGGCGGCTGAAGCGAAGTGATGGTTAGGATTTTAAAACCCTAAGTGCTTTAGGGGCTGGTTCAAGTCTGAACCAGCCCCTAAAGTTGGGTATTAGGTCACCCACTGTTTGGGCCACTATTGTAATGGTTTTGGGCCTAAAAAGAATAAAGAAAAAAACATCTATTATTTTAAGTAAAATATAAAATATATATATATATGGATGAAAATTAATGTCCACACCAAGCTTGAAAAATCATAATCTTCTCCACCATTTTTCTTGGTGTTCCTCCATTGGTGAAGCTCGAGGAAGTGATGTAAGCATTCGAGAGGAGCTCATGCTATAGCCATTCATGGTGGTTTGAGGAAGCGTCGGTCGTGCACACCGAGTGTTTTCTTCTCCAACCTTTTCTCATTTGTTAATTATTGAAAACTTATTTGGGTTGTTTGGTTGAATGAATGATTGGATATTCTCCATGGTTTATTCGAACCCCACCATGTACTAAGATATATTTGGTGGGGTTCATTTGATTGATGCTTGAAAACTTTGTTTTAATGGTTGATTAATGTTTATCTTTTTAGTTTACTTGTTTTGTTTATGTGTGCTTTATCTTCTAAGATTGTAGGAGGCATGAGAGTGTCCATTTCTTATATGAAGACTATATTTTCAAGAGAAATCTAGCCATTAATTCTTAAGTGTTCGAGAGAAACTTGAGTAAGATTAACATAAACAATGGGATATAGTTAGTCAATATAGCCTAATCCCTTAGTACTTAAGATAGACTAAGCTAGGATTTCAACGACTAAGAGGGGTAGTGCGACATCAATAGTGTAGGCTACCATAGTTGAGACTGAGAGGAGATGTCGTGGCATTCTATTCTGTTAGGTTCTTATGACTAGAGATAGTGAGAACACTTTTACCAAACTCCGTCGAGCAAGTAAGGTAGTAGTAGACTAAATCAGCTAGAGAGATAAGTTTTCAGCTCTTTAAGTTTCTTCTCACCAATCATTTTTGAAGTAGTTTCCCGTGTAAGAATTATTAAGTTATTCCATTTATTTGCTATTTTTACCATTTTACATTGCCCTGACATTTTCATTTTTACTCATTATAAATTGTTTTCTTGCCACAACAAAATTTATCTGCTTCATTCACTTCACACTTTTCTTACCTCGGCAAATTATTTTCATCTATTCATACCATTTGCCACTGTATATTTTCCTTGTTTATATCATTAGACTTGGATACTTAGGATTAGTTAGTGACACCTATTCCTAACTGTAGCAAATATTTAAAAGCCCTTCAATCCCTGTGGAGACTATACTCACTAATCACTTTATTACTTATTGCGATTGTGTATAGTTGCAGAACATTTGTGTATAATTTATAGTACTCACAACACGCAACAGTCATAGAAGGCTATCAGATACGGATGACATGGTTGGAGTCTGAATTTCAAGTGAAGGGTGACTCTACCGAGGAGGAGGTTATTTTCGCATCCCGAACATATCTTTTCCAACTGATTAGAGGGGTATTATTACTATATGAATCTAGTAATTTGGCACACACTTAGTATCTGCCAATATTAAGTAACTTCTCTCAGAGTCGTAATACCAGTTGGGGCTCAGTAATTTTAGCCTTTTTGTACTGGGAGTTTTGCAAGGCTGCAATTGTCGAGCGAGGTCGAAAAAACGATGTAGTAGGTTGTCTAATATTGCTACAATCTTGGGTTTTGTACTGGTTCCCATTTTTTATGCTAATTACAATAGTCTCGATTGTGTTTCCTCTGGCTGGAAGTTAATTTTTTAACTTCAGTTTTTAACTAATTTTTTAATATATTTTTATATAATTTTTTAATCTTTTTTTTAATCTTTTTTATTTTAAAATATTTTAAATGGAAGCATAAAATAACCGAGACGAAGTTTTCGGGTGCCACTTCAAAAGATATATGGATAAGGATTAACATCGGCGGTCGATATGAGGTATATATTAGTTCTTTTATTTTTTTGACATTGTTTAACTTTATATATACTAACTTTTATAATTAATATTTACAGATTTTTTGGCTTCTGTACGCTAATATTTTGCGATTGTTGAGTTGCACACTGCTGATAGAGTGTTGCTACAGTTTGTTTCTCATCAACCTATTCATACGCAAATATGGGAAATGGACGCGCTCCATAAAATTGATTCACATGGGAAGCATACCAAAAATTGACCGACGAAGCACACTTACTACATTGAGCAATGAGATCAGCGTCACCTATTGGGCCCCTCCCATTACGATGGACCTAAATTTCAACCATTCTCCTTATCTGTGAAATTACGAAGCAAATGGAAAACCATATCTAACAACTCCAGAATATAGGGGAGAATGGGAACAACACAAGGTCAGATTCACCAAGTCCAAGAAAAAATCATCGTCATCGTCTTCTTTTGCTTTTTCATCTGCATCTGAAGATTACTAATATGCATCTCAGGATAGTTTCAGTTTCTATCCTACATATCATACTTCAACCCAAACTCAGCCGACTTGGGTTAGAGGTTTATAGGATGCAATGCAACACACTAAAGCATCTTCGAAAGGACATGCGAGTGAGGGTGAATGAGATCATATCATATATGGTCAACAACGTAGAAGCTAAGTTGATTCACTAGCAACAATGATGACGTCAAATATCATAACCCCATCACCGTATTTCGAAGGTGGATCTCAGAGTGTGTTAAGTACACCTCATTTTGAACAACGAAACCAAGATGAAGACGATGACGATGTCGATCAAGGCCGATGATCCCAATGTACTCGACAAGCCCCGTGCCATTATCATTCAACCACTCTTCGACATCGTCAAGAACTTAGAAAATATAAATAATTTTTCTTTGTAAAAAATTATTTTTTAAATACAATTATTAATTTACTTTGTAATTAATTTTTTAAAATTTAATCATGCGAAACTCATCACCTTGAAGTGACGAGTTCCATGATAATCGTTGCCCAAGTGACCGCTGTTGTTATCCGTTGATCAACGACTACTTTTTCGAATTTGAAGAAACTCATCACTTTGAGGTTACGAGTTCCATTAATTTTTTATATGTTTAAAATTTAAATTATTTTTATAATTTTTAAAAATATATTTTTTAAATGGAAGTGGCGAGTCTCATTAATTACATTAAATTAATGTCTCAAATGGGTTCCACTCATACGAGTCCATTAAAAAATATATCATAGTGAACTCGTCAATAACACTGTAGAAAATGCCGTATTCTCCAAAAATAAAAAGTCGGGTGCCCTATTAGGTCAATTAATTTACCCACGTAGGTATTGGGCCAAAAAATCGTGTATTGGACCACCACTCTAGTCTGGAAACTTTAGGCCCATATTATTTAGTTTTGTGGCGATGGCGACTAGTGGAAACCAATCTTTGTTTCCTTTTCCCAGCTGTCCAAAACTCTAAAGTTGTTGAGTTTCCCTTCCTCTCCTACCTCGGATTTGTAGCTACTGTCCAGGGTTTTTTATTCTCATCGCAATTTCCGATCTTAATCAGTCTATTTTCCCAGTGATTTACAAGAATTTAACGGCAACAGCATGGTAAGATCCTACTTTTATTTATATTTTACTTTGACTGGGTTACTCTACTATGGCTTCTATTGAATGCAAATCGCATTTCATTAACTTTGTTAATTTAGAATTTCCTGCTTGGAGCTTTCAAGCCGGTATGTAATATCTTGATCACATTTTCCGATGCAAAAACTCGAAAGCAGGTACGGTTCTAGATCATCTAAGGTTTTAGTCTGGTTTGAATTGAAAATTCAAATTTTATGTTTTATTCGTTGTGATTTGTTTATCCGAATTTTCACGAGTCATAGTTCTGGAATTTGGATTATTGTATGTGGTTAGGTGCCTGTGAAAAAGGAAAATGACCAAACGGTTTTAGTTCCGCTTTTCCGAAGTCAAGAAAATATTGCTGGCAAGGTATTTATTTCAAACAGATCGAGGCGCATAGTAATTGAGTTTTGTTTTTATAGCTTTAAAATAAACTGTTATCGATCTTAAATTTTTTATGATATTTCTATCCTTATGTCTTCAGATTTCCATAGAACCATTTCAAGGGAAGAAAATTGAACATAACGGTGTGAAGGTTGAGCTCCTTGGTCAAATAGGTCGGTCCTTGCCCCTTGTTCACTATGTTGCTCCAAGTTTTAAATTACATTCTGATGTGGTGGAAAGAAAAAGGTTGAACATTTAAGTGTGTTGTCGTTTCTTGGTGAAATGAATTAACGTCAACTTTGATTTTTCTTTTCAGAGATGTATTTTGACAGAGGCAACTTTTACGACTTCACCTCTCTTGGTGAGTACTGTAGTCTGGCTGACCTTTTGTTCGATTTGTCTGGAAATTGTTTAGATGTTCTATAAGTAACTTGAGGAATTATTTACATTAATTGCGTGTGGCATGTTTGAGGTTGAAAATAGGAGCTTAAGAGTTCAAATTTATGCTTTGTAGTTTATGATATTCATATAACTTTTCACTCTTTAAGAGGCTCAAATGCGCATGAAATTTATTTCTCAGATTATAAGTTCTTGTAGACTGCTAAATGGTTTTTTATTGCTTTTCTCTATGCCTTCTCTCTTTTGCTTACCTTCTGTATATTCCTAATATTTGCAGTACGTGAGTTGGATGTCCCTGGGGAAATATATGAAAGAAAAACTTACCCTTTTGAATTTTCTACTGTTGAAATGCCGTATGAAACTTATGGTGGCGTGAATGTGCGGCTCAGGTTTGCTACTCACTGCTTAAACTCTTTGAAGATAAACTTTTGTTCATTTTTCTTCTTGTCAATTTGAATGGAATGGTTCCTTGATTACTAAAAGTTTGTTTGCGATGTAGCTTTGAGGATTATAAATCAATTTCTTATCATGATAATAGTTTTGGGTTCCTATCTTAATAACGATTATAAATTACTCTGATATGTCATTTAAAGATCTAATTTTAAAATTGTTTTTCTGATGACGAGGCTGGTGATTTGGGGCTATAGTGTGACAACTCATCCTATAATAGTTTGATTATTTGCTTTCATCAGGTATGTCCTGAAAGTAACAGTTAGCCGTAATTATGGTGGAAGCATAGTGGAATACCAGGACTTTATGGTAAGAAGCATCCATTAATTCTTTTCTCTTCAACTTATTATGCAAGTAAGCACATACTAAGTCTTCTGTGTGCCGCTAAAGGCAGAACTTCAATGCTTTCTTATGTGAAGACTGGAGTGCTTAACACCCTCCCTAAACACACACACACCCCACAAAACATATAATACTCATATTCAGGAAAGTCAGCATATCTATATGGCCATATACAAGTTATCGGTTATGTGGTTTTAGCAACTTAACTTTTGTTTGTTTTATGCGTATCAGGTTCGTAATGATTCTCCAGTTCCATCAATCAACAATAGCATCAAGGTTAGTGCATTTTTTTCAATACTTTTATGGTGATTGCATTGCATTGTAGTTTGACTATCTAAATTGATTCTTATGAACATTACATCAATCATTTCACCATTTGCTAATGAATCACCCACCACCAACTTCATTCATAATTTTAATTTTTAACAAATATCGACCTTCATCTACAGATGGAAGTTGGAATTGAAGATTGCCTCCACATCGAATTTGAGTACAATAAAAGCAAGTAAGTTGAACATCTATGGTTGCTTAAGCCTGATATAATAGGTTGGCTTATAGGAACTGAAATTGAAATTGCAGGTATCATCTGAAAGATGTTATTATTGGCAAGATATATTTTCTTCTTGTGAGAATCAAGATTAAGAATATGGATCTTGAGATAAGGCGTCGAGAGTCAACAGGATCAGGAGCAAATACCCACGTTGAAACAGAGACCCTAGCTAAATATGAGTTGATGGATGGTGTTCCAGTCAGAGGTATGTTCTTAACTTAAGAAATGTCGTCATTTTCTAAGGCATGATGCGACAGTTATCAGATACAACTAGCTTATATACAATTTACTGAAATTGTATTCTTTGACGGATGTTAATTTGGGCTGAAATGTTTAGTTTTGATAAATGCATACACACACCATTTTCCTAAAGGATGTTAATTTGGGCTGAAATGTTTAGTTTTGATAAATGCATACACACACCATTTTCCTAAAGCATAGCGCTGACAGTCGTGCTTGGCATTGAAGGTGAATCTATTCCAATCAGACTGTTTCTCAGTCCGTATGAGCTGACGCCAACACATCGAAACATAAACAACAAATTCAGCGTGAAGTATTACTTGAATCTTGTGCTTGTTGATGAAGAAGATCGTCGGTATTTCAAACAGCAGGAAATTACAATGTACAGGTTGCAGGATTCCTGATCAAGCATCTACATACGTGTAAACTTTGACATTCCATCCAGTAAAGAAGGACGACGATTAACTGACTTCCAGTACCTTTGTAAAGCCTTGAAGCTTAGGGTTAAAAGTTAAAAACTACTTGATGACAGGGTGGTTTATTTGGAAGAGCTATAATGGCTTGGTATACTTTGCTAGACTGCGGTCTGCAGGTTTGACTCAGATTTGATGCAATTATTTACGAGTCATGCGGCGTTGCGGAGGGTGTAACTATATTTTGATACGGTCATTTCATGTTCCATGTGAATTACTTGACAATGCCATTTCCCCCCTCTTTTCCTTTCTAATCATTCAAGTAAAACTTATTTCCCCTACCAAGTCCAAGGTTATTGTCACATTCAAAACATTTCAAAATTTATATAATCTAAATTATTACAACAAAATACTAAATAAACAAAATATCTTGTATGTAAATACAAAAATTGGGCATTTGAGTACGCTGAGTTTGTTTTGGATCGAGTTAATTTGAAATTTGAACATTTTGGGTCAGTTTTGATTTTAGGTCATCTTGGGTTTGAGTCAATCTTTTCATAGTACTTTTGTTGGGTGATTGTAGTTTTACTCCACTGGATTGGATTCAAAATGAATACTTATTTTTTTTTTAAAGATTTTGGAGTATTTCTTCTTTGCATTATTTCATTATAGGATGACAGGATAAGATCTATTTGCTCTGTAGGCACAGAGATGTCAAGCATCACAATATCATGATAGATTGGGAACTTGTTGAGGGCAAAGAGTAGGAATTGAATTCTGCTTATATTACAGGAATATAGATACTTAGCACGAAAATCAGTAAACAAGTCAAGGCAAAGGTAAATTAGATCATTTAGTTTCTCGTGAACAACTACTAAGTAGACTCATTGAGGAGTAACTGTCATAATGGGTTGGTGGTTGCATGCCCCACGCAGGGATGGACAGAGAGGAATATTGATGATATAATTTTGTATTCTTAAATTTCTAATATAAACTTTTAAATTCTTATCCTTAATATAAAATCATGTATCTTTTTCTGATGTGACGTAAAGCCTTTAAGAGCCTTGCATGATCCATAATTAGCAGAAGATGGTTGTCTTGGACTAGAAGAGCTGGCAATCAGTTATTTGCAGATAGCGGGCATACATATTAAAAAAGAGCCAGAGTTGTTGGCTGCTAACAGCATGATCTGTGTACATGTGGAAAATGTGGTCTTATTAAAAATCATTACCTTATTACAATTATAAGTTAACAAGGGATTGATTAAAGTGATAAGCAGCTTAATATCGTTTAAGCAAGGTTTTAACTTCGAGTCATTGCGTATGTAAAAAATCCTCGCTAACCAGATAATTGAGAAAATAATAGTCCATTAAATTAAAAGATTATCTCATTAATTATTATTATAACAAATATTGTCTTAACTTTTACAAAGAAAGAGGAGAAAAAATTGTAAATTCTATTTTTTATCATAAATAATTTATAAGATATGATTCTTATTAATTGTCATAACGGAAAATAATATTTTCAAAATTTTAAATATGTTGAGAATAATATTTTAAATATATATTTTATAAATATGAAATAGAAAAAATATTATTAACAATGATAATAAATTATTAATAATAAATAATTGTGACATTAATTAATTAATGTGCTTTAAGAATTCAAAGAAAAGGCATATTAAGATACAAAAAGTTGGTTTGATAGAAATTGGGCCAAGTGGCATATTGATTTGTTGGATCGAGCAACGAATTAGAGTGACCAATTATTTTCCTTTATTTATTTTTTCTATTTCACTTTATCACTGAAAATGACTATAAGAATCAATGTCGATAAACAGCTACAGTGATAATAGACTTTGATTAAATTTAAAGATCAAATTAATATTTTATTTAAATTCTATAAATTAAAATGATGTTTTATCTAAAATTTAGGTTAATTTCAATTCTAATTCCGGGCTCAAATTCAAGTTAACATAAAAAATTAACTAACATATTATATCAAACTAATAAAATTAATAATTTAATGGTTAAAATATAAACAATCATCAAATAAATTATTAAAATTTAATAAATTAATAATATAAATCATTAAAAAATATTTTTTTATTAATTTAAGTTGATTACAAGTGATAATACATGTTCTTAAGACTCTTAGACATAAGGGTGTTCATAATTTGGTTAAAATCGAATTAATCAACCAAAACAAAATTTTGGTCGGTTAATTTCGGGTTTGATAGATTAACGATTAATGATTTTTTTAAACTTTAATTATCAGTTAATTCGATTCGAAATCGATTAATTAAACGAAATTATTAAATATTTAATATATATATTATATATATATTATTTAACTTTAAGACTACTTAAACTTCAATTTCAAACGAATTAACCGAATAAATAAAAAATATAGAATATTAATATATAATATATATTATTTATAAATTTTGATTAATCCGGTTAACCAACCAATTAATCAAAATTAATTAGATTTCGGTTAATTTTTAAAAAAATTGATTCGGGGTTAATGGTTAAATGAAAAAAATCGGTTAATAAATTTTGGTAATTCGATTCGATCAATTAATCGAATTACCCTATTGAACATTCCAAATTAACCATTTGACAATGATTACTTTAAAAAATGATAATGAATACTCAAATACTTTATAATTGTTAGTGCTCAAAGTTATAACCTTTAATTATAACAATTATCCCTTTAATTAGTGAGGTAACTTAATTTATGCTAAGTATAACTTTTTTTTAATTTAATATGTAAAAAGTATATAAATATAAAAAGAAATGCTTAATACACTTTTAAGTGTCTAAATTATACCTCAAAATATGATTTGGTGCTTAAAGAATATTTTTGTTAAAAATAGGTATCTAACGTTTTCCTTGTTATACTTTTAGATGCCTAATATTTTTCATTATACTTTTAAGTGATTACCGTTATGTTTTTAATTTTTTAATAATAAAAATACAATTTTTTAAAAAAATTAAAAAATAAACCCCTCCCTGCATTCCTCACCCTTCCTCCCCAGCTATCACCTTTGCAGAACCCTTTCCCAAATCCCCTCCCCTGACATGTTAGAATTTTGTTTATCATTTTCAACATTATGTCGTTCTGCATCAAAGTACGGTTTACTTTTTATAATCATTTATTGGATAATTTGATTTTATAAGATTTATTGAATTATCCGAAATTTTAGGGTTAGAAATTTTAAGTTTAAAAATTCATAGATTTAGAGAAATTCAAATAATGATAAAAGAGATGATCGACAATGAAAGTCCGACTACAGGTGGATAGTCGTTTAATAATGACGAAGGTGGCCGGTGATGATCAATGATGGTTGTTTTGAGAGTTGGAATGAAGGATTTTAGAGATTCAATGATATTTTTGTAATTTCAGAAAAAATAAGATTTTTTTAAATTAATAATATTCTTAATTTAAAAAATTCAAGAAAAAAATGAGGACAACACGTATTAGATAACGGTCAAATTTAACAAAGGTTATGATTCATACACTTAAAATGTATGAAAACATTAGACACTTATATTTAACAAAAAAAAATTTAAATACTAAATCGTATTTCAATGTATAGTTTAAAAATTAAAAAGTGTATTAAGCCAAAAGGAAAATGGTTAATCAAATATTTACTCTAATTTAATCTAGTTTAATAGACACCTACAAATGACGTCATATGAATGTAGTTCAGAATATAAAATTCCAATTAAGTGGAGCCAAACGCATCCTCTGTGCATCCACCGTCACTCAGTCGTGCCCATCACCCTTACGCCCCATTGTTTGCAACTCTTCAAATCGATCCACTCCTTTCCTCCATTAAAATTAAAAATGCGAGGTTTTTGCACTGAATAAAAACCCAATTTCCTTACAAGATCAACAATCTCTCTCCCTCTCTTGAAGCACTGTAAAAAGAAAAGAAAAAAACCTCAGGGTGTATTGGCAGAATTCGAGTGGTAGTGTGTACTAGGCAGAAACAATGGAGCTCTTCTATTTCATGGTGTTCGGTGCATTGGGAGCGGTGGTGGCAGCATTAGAGCTGGGCAAGAATAACAAAGATCGAATCAACACTTCCCCTGCCTTCAATTCCTTCAAGAACAATTACCTTGTTTTTTACTCTCTCGTGATGGGTAACTATCTCCCACTCATTTTTATTATTCACCCAGATCTGTATTTCAATTTCTATGTTTTAGATCTCACTTTTATTTTACTATGACATGTCTCTGATCTAGTTCTAGTTTTTTGTTTGTTGCGTGTATATCCAGAACCTAGTCCCTGGATTTGCTTTTTTAGAGTGTGATTGGATTTTTTTTTCTCTTTGTGATTTGGTTTTACTTTTAGTGGATGATGTTTTCGTTACATTAATCGTTTACCTTTTAATGTCCTTACTGTTTTTCTGTGCCTTGGAAATGTAGAACGGGTTCGTCAAGAAAAGTAAGTGGAAAATGGGGGACATTAATGGGGTTTTTTTTATAAGAAAAGGGAAGCTTAAATAAAATGACTTCCAATGAATATAATGTGGCTTTTCGGCCCTTTTCTGTTTTGTGGTTGAGAAACTAATTTTTTTTCTTTTCCTTTTTTTTTGGGTGGGTTGGAGATATGTCGCTATTGCTTGGTTTTACGGTTTGCCTGGTCGATGATGGATTCGATAAAGAAACAACCAAAATGTTGAGGATCATCAAACTATGCAGTGTTCTCAGAGTGGAAGTCATAAACATAAACTCCTGATTCTTGCCAAGTTTTTTTCACCATCACATTAGCTTAATAAGTTTCAGGGCAATGGGTGTAGGAATGATACTCTAATATAGTTGTCTACTTGGGATTAAACAGCCTGAGATGCCATTAATCATGAATTTGAATGCTATAAAAATTGTGGTTATTCGAGCTTTTGATACAAGTCTTTCATGTTGATGTATTGGTAACAATCTTATTCAAGGGCATCATAAACATATTGCCACTTATGTTTGAATGATATTTCTTTTAAAAGAAAATTTCCTAATTCCTATATAGTTACTATCTTAGTCTTATTAGTTTTAGAGGTATGATCTAGTAACTGTGAAGATAACCTTCTTATAATATGGCTATTGGACTGATAAATGGTTGTTTATGTATCTATAGCTGGAGACTGGCTGCAGGGTCCATATGTTTACTATCTTTACAGTACCTATGGCTTTGGAAAGGGGGAGATTGGACAGCTTTTTATTACTGGTTTTGGGTCATCCATGTTGTTTGGTACAATTGTTGGAACTCTAGCTGACAAGCAGTAAGCTTTTACTCTGGCTTCTGTT